TTCTCTTTCAGGTCACTAACTTTCTCTTCTTCTTGTTTCTCACTTTTCTGTGTAATGCATTCATCATGACAAGTATGGAGCAACATGCATTACAAAATCACTAGTTGTGTTTGTCTCTGTATCCCAAGTGAATCATATTCCACCGAGTAATATAGTATTTCTCAAATAAATATTCACAGTTTTAGTTTTTATCATTTATTATATTTTGCCTCTACAAAAAGTGTATGAATACTTATCCAAATCATAAGCTTAACCCCATAAGAAAAAGTGAGGGGTGCTTCAAATAAATCAGCTTGAACTGTCAGGAACCATTTATGCAATAAAGATGTTGCATTTTCAATTCCAATTCAATTAGGCAATTTTTACATGGCTGCTATAGTTCATTAATTAGTACTACTGCACCATTAACATTGCTGTTTCAATCACAGAAGGAAAGAGACCGCACCAAAGAGTTGAGAAGGAAAAATGAAGAAATGAAAGGAAAAATATATACCCTGAGAAGTCAAAAGATGGAGCTTGACAGAAAAGTTTTGGAGATGCAGTCCACCATGGATTCACTGAAAGATGAACAGAAAGTGATGGAATCCACATTCCAAGAGACACAGAATGAGCTCAGGATAATGCAACAAAAAGGGATTGAACTAGGAAGCTCTGAAACATTAGCTCTGAGAGAGAATCTTAAGCAAAAGGAAGCAGAGATAAAAGACTTGAAGGGACATCTTCAAATCCCATTTAAGAGCAACTCTGTAAGCATCATCAACGATGCAGCCAACTTTTCTGCAACTGAGAATAGAGAAACAGATGAACTCTCAGGTGACTCTGCCAAATATGGGGATGAAGATGCAAGTAAAAGTAAATCAACCATGTTCAAAGATAGGGGAGTTACAATCGAAGTAAAAGATGAAATTCAGAATGATGATAAGCAAGGAAAGAAAAATGAAGACCCTCAAGATGATGGTGATGCACTTATCAGTTCAAAAGATATGAAGGCTGAAGTAGTGGATGGTAGAGAAAAGAAAGTGATCAAAGAAGAGAAACCAAGACAGCTTAAGGGAAATGCAGATGGTGGTAGACATGATTTTAATGTGAATCAATTGGAAGATAACTCCAGAACTGCAACAGGAGTGAAGAGGAAACATGGCCATGTAAGTAGAACGAAGGAAAAGCGATGGAGAACCATTGTCAAAAATAGCTTAATGGAGAAAAATGGAGTTTCTGAAAACCATAAAGAGGTAAACAAGGGAAATATAAAGGTTTACAAAGATGAGTTGAAAGATAGAACAATGGGGAAAGTCTCTAATGAGGAAAATGTAATAAGAAAGGATAAGGAAAGTGACAATTCTAACCAGAAACAAGAGGAGGAGCAGGAGAAATTGTTGAAGCCTGAAAACCATGAAGAGAACTTGGAACATGGCATGAACATGATAGTGAATAATACAAATCAGCAGGTGACAAATAATGGCAGCACCATTGAACCAGAAAAGGAGAGATTGTATGAAATGAGAGGTTCTGGAGAACAAGAAGTGAGTGTTGTCCAACAGAACTGGAGCAGGAGGCATATCAAAAGAGCTGAGAAGAATGATGGAGAAACAAAATCCAACATGTTTCAGGAACAAGCTAAGGAAACAAATGTTTCTGATATAGAAAAGCAAAAGAAAGATGACATTGATGATGATGAAGATAATGAGGATAAGGATGATGATTTCCCAAAGGAATCTCAATCTGAATTTGAAGATGATAAGGAGGAGTACAAGGAAGAGGTAGATGAGTCAGAGTTTCACTCTGGTTTGTGATTAAACTGTAAATTAAATTTACTATGTTCATCTATTGGGTTTGGTGTGCTTAGAATATTTGAAATGGTGTATTTAGGAACTAAGAAATAGATGTTAGTGAAACCAGATTTCCTATATGTATTTAGTAACTCATATTTTGGTAGAATTATTATTTTTTATTTTACTGCTACAACTTGGCAATATTCATCATAAATTATTTTTTTATAAAAAAAATAATTTAAAAAATGTTAAAATCTGGACATAAAAAAATAATTTAAAAAATATTAAAATCTAGACCTTTTGCAAGAGAGACCATCTCGAGATTACATGATGCACAGTGGGATTCAAAACCCAAAACAGAACACCTTGTTTTGCCAATTAATTTGTAAGATACTATCTTTTGGAAAATTACTACATTCTAGTCGAACTATTATAGGTACAAAAAAGAATGAATATTTAGTGTAATTTTATTAAAAATTCAGGTGTAATTTACTCAAAATCAAAACTCTACTAGTTTATATTTAAAAGTGAAACCATGCTGCAGGGAGAGGATTATAGACCTACTTAATGAAAGAAAAATCAAACATAATTTTAAGAACCTAGCACATTCTCAGTACATGAGTTTTTGTTTCATTTCATGTACCCTTCACTCAATCCTCAAAAAATGAAAACAATGTCTATCCTTCTCTAATCGTAGCCATAAGTCATGTCCACTTCAATCCCAACCTTTTTATCTTTCAAACCCCATCTCACTTTTTCCATAACACCCTCATCTTCACACCGATTCCAACCATTCCCATCTCTCTCCTTGCCCAAAGTTCACGCCTTTAAGCCTCAACTCGCACCCAACAATGTTACTGGGTTTTCCCCCAAAGCACCAAGATTCTATCTTTGGAAGAGTTTCTCTGTAAACGATGACAATGCTGTTGTTGGGTTAGATGAAGCTGAGAAAGAGGGTCGAGGGAGAAGCTCTATGCCGGAGCGGTTTCGGTACCTCGCTAAAGAAGCTCCTGACACTACTATAATGTGGCCATGGCTTGTGGGTCAGTTCATTGGAGATTTTATTTAACTTCATTTTGTTAAGTTTTTAGTTTCAGTAGAGTGATTGTGTTTCTTGATTTTCTATGAAGAATTATGCTTTCTTTGAAATTGGGGATTTTTCTAAAACCATGAGTTATGAATTTTTTAGTATCTCGACGTTTCATGACATGGATAATTATTTGTCCATTGTATTCTTATCCTCGTTGAAAATCGTTCAAGCTTGACTGGGACATCAAATGATACAACTTGGTATCAATTATGTTGAAATTTAGTTCCAATTTTGATTTTATTTATTTATTTGTGGTGCTACTCTTTCAGTTTTAGTCAAGTATTTGTTCAGAACTACACTCATTTATCTTGTAATTCTGTTTTTTTTCCACCTAAATTTCATTATATGGGTAGAGATTTATCATTGTTGAGGGATAATGGATAGTAAGAACTTAACTGCATCTTTAGACTAATTCTGGTCACAATATAACATTAAAGCCTCTGTATCTGGTCAGGGCTGTGTGTCTAGGTGTTTCCTTCCAATATGTGTTAAAGTATAGAAAATTATAGTTTTCAGCTTCCATTTAAACCCTTTTTGGTTCAACTATGCAGGTTCTCTCTTTTATATGCTTATCATGTAACAATTTTTTTCTTGTGTATGTACAGTATTGGCTGTTCTCATCTATGCTTGGAGGGCAGTTCTATTCGAGCTGTCAAACTGGAGGAATGCTGTATTTGGCATCATTCGTTTTATAGGATATGTCTTCAAATATGCTTTTGCAGCATTCTACCGTTTCATCGGCAATCCAATCACCTTTTCGATTAGATGTGTCGAGGATTTGGTTTACTCCATTCGAGCTTTCTATTCTTCGATAATTAACTATACTCCTATACCAGACCTGACCATCACCATTGTGCTGGCATCAGTTGTTTTAGCTATAGCTGAAGCTACTGTTCCGAACTGTGTCAATGACCACCCTTATGTTTTGACTATATCTGGTCTTCTTGCCTATGCCGCTGTTAGAGGGTATATTTCTGAACCTTTGTTCTGGACCCTTCTGCTTGGGGTGTATGGTTTTTCAAAACTTGTCAAAAGGAGGGACGGTGTTTCATCCGCAATGCCTGTTGCAGCTGTACTTGCTGCTGTTGGGGAGCCTTGGGTTAGAGTTTTGGTGATTATTTCATTCACAGCCTTAGCTATTTTTCAGCATTCCAAAATGCTTCCAGAAGGGAAAGAAGTTGAGACATCGGAGAGGAGGCTTCCGATTCCACTTCTTCTTGCAGCTTTAGCCATTGGCTTACGCGTTGCTGCTAAGTGGGCTGGGTATCGGCATTTGACATGGATGATAGTATGACTGCGAAGAAATAGCTTATCTGTTTAAGAAGAATGAGGTTTGTTGGTCTATAAAGTTTTGAGGTACCATGTGATATAGATGTTTACACAGTTTTTTGTATGCACTTGTTGCAATTATTTTGGTGTGTAAGGGAGAAGCTGTGCTACATGCTTGTAGTTAGAAACTTTGGTATTGTGTTTGTAATAGAGCCATCGGTTTCAAGATTCATAAATTGTTAGAAAACATTATCACGTGATTCCTTCAAAGTGCATCTTGTAACTTGCAAGTTCGTAATTAGGCATATTAAAGTTAGAAATATTACTATCGTTATTAGAAGACAAGTCAAGATACAATTCCACAAATCAGTAGTAGAGAAATTTTTTGATCTATCAAAAACTAATATATAAGTAGCAGAAGGGAAGTAAGAACTATATAGAGGAATACTTCAAAGAAATAAATGCTCTTCTCAAGAAGGCACCGTGAAACTTTGTTTTTGCAAGAGAAAAATATAAGTCCCATTCAGAATTTTTCATTGTTATTAACTTAAAATTATCCTTACCAAATACTAGTTTTACAAACAATTAAAATTTAAGGAATAATTAGGAATAAAAATAGTGACATACAAAACATATAAAGTTAAAGAACTTGTGAATCTTTCCCTAAAAACAAGGTATCTAATTAACATATAAATAACATTCAATTATGAGGAATATTTAGGATGAAGTAATAAAAACTTGAAAATTTGGACCATCCAACCAACCCACAAGTTTATATTGGGCCTAACGGGTTGGTTCGGGTAAACCTCACCCATTGATTACTACCACCGCCAACGAGATAATTTTCTAGGGTTTCTAGTTATTCAGTGCGTCTATATAACAATCTATGCCCCTCATATTCTCTAATATCCATAGCCGATTAGGGTTTCTTCCCAATTCATTTTCTTTTACTTTACTTCGAAATGTTGATAATGATTATGTTTTTTATTTGATTAGATGTTTAGGTTAGCTTCTAATTCTTCATTTCTTTACGCATGTTGCATCCCCGGGCTTCTCTGATAGATCGATGACGCGAAAGCCCCAATGCTCGTGCAATATTGCACGCCGTTCGTGTTGCAATTCAGTCTTTTTTTCATGGCTGTGATCTGTGTCAAAGTAACTGCAAAATTCCATATTTATTTACCTCTTTCTCTTGATTAAATCTAACAAAATTTGCCTCGTTAAACCTTCAGCTTGTTTTCGAACACAACGTGTTCAATGAATTTGGAGCTAGTCCTAGAGGCATAAATCAAATAACGTGTTGTTTTCGATTTTGGGCTCTTATCTTTCAGTGTCTGTCCTTTCGGAAATACTCGTAACATAGATATGTAGATATTATAATTTGATTTTTTTTTGTTTTACTTGGCAATGATTACAACGTATCCGCGCTTCTGAGATGCGTCAATGAAGCACAAAGGATAAAATGGTTGAATTTCTTGATATGAGCTGAGACTTGATTTTTCTGCAAGAAAATGAACTTTTTGTTCAAAATTATATATTTTCCCTCGTTTTGTTTTTATGATCTCTAAATGTTGTAATTAGTATAATAGTTGGCTATGATGATCTTCATTCAGCTTATGCCAGTTCTGCTTCTGAGAATTCTTGATTGATAAGGCTGTTATATTTTCTGAGCCGCTCTATGGTACCAATGATTGAACTTTATATCCAATTAGTTCTCTTGAATTTTTATTTAGTACAAATTTTGCGATTCTTTTATCAGATTTTCTAGTTGATATTTTATTTAATAAATTGAAGCTTTCTTGAGTTTCACTATACCTTGTACTTTTTAATTTGTTCAGGGTCTGAAGAACTCAAAAATTCTGTGTTGTCATCAGCTTCATCTCTCGTTAAATCACGGGATAGGAGTTAAATAACAGCACTACATTGTTTGCAATAGCAGTTTCAGTTTAACTTTTTCTTGTGTTTTTGCTTTATTAAGTAATGAATTGTTATCGATGTCTGCAGTATTTGGTGTCAAGAGAGTGGCATTGTAGGAATTATTTCCTTTTCTGAGAGAAGGTGATATTGTTTTTTTTGTGATCTAGTTATTTGTTTCCTTTCCAAGGAATTCACCGAACTTGGATATATATGGCCGTGCGATATCTTTCATTTTTTGAAAGTAATCATTCAAATTTAAATAGTAAACACTTGTGACCATTTGAAATCCTACAAGAAGGAAATGTACCACACAATGGCTATAAGTGTAGAAAGGTTAATGAATTCATTAAAAAAGAAACAAATAATAATAATCAAAATCCTTATGGTACCCAAAAAGAAGCTAACCATACTCTCATTTCTTGAATTTATATGGCCACCAAAAAGAAGGAAATAATTCATTCATATCACATGTCTATTCCAATAAGGAAATAATTCCTCCCAGACACCTATTGGAGACAATAATTGATATCAAACTCTTTCCATGTACATTATTTTTATTTCTACCATAAACACAAAATACTCTTTAATTTAAATGAAATGACATGAGATTTGGTTTAAATGGCTGCCCAAAATGTACAGGTCCCAAAAGGTGTCCTTCTTGGTCTCCTCTTTGAATAATACAATTTCACTTGGATTTTATGACTCCTTCTGCGATTGACCTTGTTCTTAGAACAGAATATGAATGCAAAGATAATCTTAAACTTCCACTCTTTCAGTTTTGATGGACTTTCATTGATGAGTTCTAAGTTTTATTGCAATTCAATTTTCAGCTACCTCGTATGTTACGATTTTACAATTCATTTACTGTACGATTTTACTTGTTGTATATTGTAAATTTACCCCCTGTGTTATTGTTGTTCATTGTCCCTTTCTTGTAATCTACATTTCGGCTGTCTTGTAATTTTAAATCCAAAGTTAACAACCCTTTGCGACTCCGTGGCTTGTTTTTTCTTTCCTCCAACGTTCTTTTGTGGATGTAAAAATTCAGAGTAACAAACCAGTGATGATTATTCAAAGCTAGTAGTGTACAAGGTAGGTGTATAATACCAATTAACATTTTTTACAGAGTACACCTATGAATTTTCAATTCATGAACGGTAATTCTCAAAGGAAATGTTGATTTTAATCCCTCTCTTACAAAGAAAAAATTGCACTATCTGCAACCGTTCTTCAATGTTGTCTTGAAAATTATTTCTAATGGATAATCAAACTTACTGGACTGTAAGAAATTGTAATATAAAAAGAATTTGGGGATAAGAATGATTAAATAAACCTACCTATAAGATATTAATAAAGCTCGTTGCATTGATATTAATGAAGCAAGTTGTCGGCGCATACAAAGTAACAGCCTGGAAACAGTAATTACGATATAATGGAAAGAATTGGGTTATTTCGTTAAATATGTAGAGAAGGAGAAACACGATAAGATGAAAGAATTAGTTATACGTCATATCCTAATTAGATTCGATTTTTGTACATCAAACAACATAGAATGCGATAATGTAATCACATATCTTTCCTTAATGACTTCTTCTAATCTGTCTTTGACACATACTTGTGAGTCTGACTTTTCTGTCAATCCACGTGTACGCACAACATGATGGTCATTATTGCAACGTGTATGAAGATGTGATTCTGAATTTGTCTCCGGTTGAAACTCAAAGTCAGAGTTCAAAAGCAAAACCTTTCTTTCTTTCTTTCTCTTATGTCACCAACTTTTCAGTACCTCTTGCTTCGACATGACGATATCTTCGTTTTTCATCAGAGCCTCTAAAACTCTCAATAGTTCCAACTTTCTGCTCCTTTGTACCCTCAGGTGATCTTTTTATCACACCTTTATTTTATGTGCTTGTCTTTCTTTCTTTTATGCAACTTTTTTCTTTTGTTTCCGTGCATTTCAATTATCGTTGTGTTGAAATCTGGGAAGGTTCCAAGTTCCAAATAAAATGGCGCTCATGATAATGGGGCCTGCTAAATTCATTATTTTAAACATATTGCTAAATTCATTATTTTAAAGAAAGATAGAAGAAATCTGAGATCTTGAAGATAATTACAATTCTCTTCAGTACACGTTGACTAAGTTTTGACTGTAACAATTGCTTCTACATACGCATGACCGTTCAAACATCAGTATCTTTCTGTAGAGTATTGATCAACTTGCATCCACAATCAGCTACAAGTTTAAGTACAAAGAAGGCTTGGTTTGTCTTATAAAATAAAAGCTTGATTTGATATTCGGTTATTGTTTGACTTAGCATTTGACCCATTTGGAACTAGTCAAATCTTTTAGTGGGTGTAATTCTTGATGTGGGATTAACATTATCAATGGATCCAAGCAATTTTACCTCATATCCATGTGAGTATTGAGCCTGTAGCATCATCCACACAAGAGGATTATAGATCTTGAAGGAAAAAGCTTAAACCAGTTGGTTTCGCCACGATTCAATTAAAACAGTGACCCAATGTTGCTTCAAATAGAAGGATGATGGACATAGTAGAGGCTCCTCCAATAGGATGCCCCTGAATCTACATAGCATCATATGGTGCTCCTGTTTCTCATTTTCCACTTCTTTTTGATAAAACAGCGATGCACTCAGTTACCACTGATGAACCGATTTTAAATAGATTAAATTTAACAATTTAAGGCATTATTGCAATTATTTTTACTCTGGCAATGGCATAAGCTTAAATGCTTGATTTCTAATGGGTTTTGAGCTTCTACTTACTTTACCATCCATATTGACAGGTGAGATAATGAATTATGTACTGGTTAGAGTGGAAGACATATGATTAATGTTTTATACTTAAAGTAACAGGGAAGTTATGTGGCTGTCAATAAAGATGCTATAGGATCAAGAAAACCATAATTCTTGGTTAGAAGAATTCTAACTGATATAATACAGACTTAGTTTGTTCACTAAAACCTAAAAAAAATTATTTAGGTTATACTTTTTCCTCCTTTGGTTGTGGTGGATGGGAATCTAACTAGAGGTCATAGAATGTAATTTTTGGTAACAACTCCTTGATATACCATTTGAAATATATATCGATATTTTGTGAAAGAAAGAAAAAATCCAGGTATGAAGATAAAAATGGCTACAAGGTAGGCAAAATGACCTTTGGATATAAACTAAATCTCATTTCTTCAGTAAATAGAAAAAAGGGGTGAGATCATGGACTTCTAATTTGGTTAGAGGTAGTCAATGTGACATTTATGTTTTTTTTTTTGTTTCTTCCTTAAACTGTTTGGAAATTAAAGTCAGCCTGAACTGAGTTTCGATTGTTGTTTATATGTGAATACATTCAATAATTTATTTCTTGGTTCTTGCCTGCACTTAGGCTACATTGCTAGTTTTTAGGTAACAAAGTTTTCTGTTTCATTGAATTTATCTGCCCTTGGAAACTACAGTGGTGGAGGTGTGGTGGCATACTCAGAGTTACAATCAGAAACTCAACGTCCTACTATTGATGCTATTGAGCCCCCAAAAAAGAAAGTGGTGGTTCTTGGAACAGGATGGGCGGGTACCAGTTTCCTTAAGGGGCTGGATGCTTCATTATATGACGTTCAAGTTGTTTCACCTCGTAACTACTTTGCATTTACTCCCTTACTACCCAGTGTAACTTGTGGAACAGTTGAAGCACGGAGCATTGTAGAGCCAGTCCGAAACATCATAAAAAAGGTGGAGTAAACAAAACAAGAGCTCTAAGAATAACGGTTGGAATGTGATTTATTGTACAGCATTGGTTGCATATGTACATGTAATGAGAAATCAATTTTTCGTTGAGATCAAACTTACAAAGACAGGATTATTAGATTAATGACTTTGTTGTGTGTCATTAGATTATCGTTATCTCCATGTGGTTGCTTATAGGAATTCTTTTACCCTTTTTTATAATCTTTTCCAAGGGTATTTTATATGTTAATCGATAAGTGAGTCTTTTTGTTTCTTTCTCATTGCAGAGAAAAGGAGAAATAAAATTTTGGGAGGCAGAATGTGTGAAGATTGATGCTGTAAACAAAAAGGTGTTTTGCCGGTCTAATATTGAACACTTAGTGGGAAGTGGCGAATTTTCTTTGGAGTATGACTTCTTGGTTGTGGCGGCTGGAGCACAAGTAAATACTTTTAACACCCCTGGTGTCAAGGAGAACTGTTATTTTCTGAAGGTAAATTAGTTTTTTTGGGGTACACATATAATGTACAATCATTTAGTGGATCAAAAGCTTTTCTGCTTGTTTATGAATGTCGTTTATCTGGTGATTCATTTAGTCTTTGAACTTGGTGAGAAAAATTATTACCACCACACTCTTGTTTATCAATCACTTTGCCACTGGCAGGATGTCGAGGATGCTCAGAAAATTAGATTGTCTGTGATTGATTGCTTTGAGAAGGCTGTTCTTCCTAGTCTATCTGAAGAAGAGCGAAGGTCAAATCTTCATTTTATAGTTGTTGGAGGAGGTCCAACTGGTGTGGAATTTGCTGCTGAGCTGCATGATTATGTCCTGGAAGATTTAATCAAATTATATCCTACTGTCAAAGATATAGTGAAGATAACATTGATTCAATCAGGAGATCACATCTTGAACACGTAAGGAAAGCAATAACAATCTCAATTACACTCTAATGCTTTTAAAAGTTTAACGTAGAAACTATGCTCTCTTCCCAAAACCTTTCATTTGTTTATTTAATGCATTACTCGT